CCCCCCCCCCTCTCTCTCTCTCTCTCTATGTTGCCAACTACTACTTTTACTACTCGAGTCAAGTTAAAATATCACGAGAGTCAAAACAAACAAACATTACTACTATCATTTATCAGAATGACGCAATTTAAATGATAAGATAACACGGGCTGTATAACTAAATCTAAGACTTAATCCTAAAATTAAATTAAAAATTTAATGTCTCTTCTCTAATCAGAATAGAAATAATCTAGGAATACGTATTATAATTCTATTAATATTTTTGCGGTTCTCTCTCTCCATAAAGTTGAGAAAGTTATGATAAAGATAAGATATATATTCCAGAACGGTGATATCTGAAAGGTAAGTCTGGCTAAATTTTACCCACGTTCAGGGTTCTAAGGCGCTTAAGTCTATTATAACGGTCTGTGTGCATCTTGAAACTCCGAGTAACGTAACGATCGATGTCTAATGAGATTCGCGTAAACTTACCGTCGCAACACAACTTCTCTGGCGACCGTATCGGTTCTATACGAACGATAGCGGGCGTGGTTGTACGGCGACTCGATTCCATTGGAACATACGACGGGTTGTAGGCCGGCTGGTTGGAGATATTTGAATAAAAATTATTCGCGGGCGCGGACGACGGATAGCCGGGCATTTGCGAACAGCTCTGGTCGTACATCGACGTCGTCGTCGACAGCGGCTGGCCGTACGGGGCTGCACACGAGCTGTTCTTCGTCGCGATTTGCGCCATCGCTTCCGCATATGACGGCGGTGCCATTTTACTTATCGTGGGAATATCTGGCTGATTAAATGATGACGGCATTGTTGTGTGTTGAACGGGCGCGTCACGTCACTTTACTATAGTGAGGCTACTTGAGAGAATCTGGAAACAAAGAAACGTGTGATCATCCTTGAAGAAAAATAATAGTCAATTCATCGGAGCGCGTGTTCAGAAAGTTGAAAACGCAGTTACTTTGATTAAATGCATGTTTGTAAATTTATAAATTTAAGATAAAGAAAAACGAAAAAGGAAACATCGTTAAAAGTGTAGAGAAGAGCGGGGCACAGAGGACCACCGCTTATAAAACATAGGTGAACAAACACTATCTGTTTGAAAATAAAGAAATTACAATAAACAGACAACCGCTAATAGTGTAATGACAGTAGGCATGTAAACAAACTTCATAGAGAAAGTTGTAACGAAAAAACTGCAAAAAGATTACTTTTGAAGGTACGCTTGTTAAAATATATATTAATATGTTCGTATAAAGTAATGACATAGTATTATTATTATTGTATATTATTATTGTGAAATCAAATTTCATAACGTATCCACAATACATTAAAGAAATTATGTGTATATTTACATTATTTTTACATTGTCATATATACGCATATTTTATTGTAAAGTGTGTGTTTGGGGCACAGAGATCCGGGATCGTTGGGGACACACACACACACACACACACACACACACACACACACACACACACACACACATATATATATATATTAATAATTATATATAATTATTACATATAATTATATATATATTAATATAATTATAATATATATAATATATAATAATATATATAATTATATATTATTATATATTATATATTATATATTATATAATAATATATATAATAATATATTATAATATATATAATTATATATATATATACACAATTTATTTATTATAATTAATATATATATATTAATTATAATAAATAAATACTTTTTCGTTATTATATAATAAATATATTGTTCTTATTGTGTACCTATTATTTAAAAATGAAGGAAGAAATGCCAATAAAACATTTTTTTTTTCACTTCATATGTTGCTTTCACACATACACGTATATACATATATGTGTTATCAGTGAAATGATAAACTTATTTTTATTATTCTGTTTCTACTTATATGTATGATATGCGAAATATTATCATACATATATAGAAAATCATACATGGTCCTCTGTGCCCCGTGCTTGGGGCACAGAGGACCATTTTTCTTTCCAACAATTTTAATGTCTAAAATAAAATCTCTTACAGTTATTAAACTAACACTTTGTCTGCGTATGCATAATCTTTGTAGGTATATGCTGAGCAACTTTGGGTCATTTCCTATAAGTAATAAATTTTTTATTAATCTTAGAATGTTAAGCGATTCTCTGTGCACCGCTCTCCTCTACTCTTGACTCAACGGATGTAATCCTATAAGCGTACATTTTTTGTTGACTCGTTAAAAGCAGTTACACGTGGTAATATTCTCCGAATGAGTTTGATATATTTGTGTGAAGCGAAGTGCGTGTACACTGTGGATGCATATCTCTCTTGCATACATACATTACGCCGCTGTAGTGTAGTCGGTATCGAATTTGCATCACACCCATCTTTATTGTATATTCGCGATAAGCACTTAGTTAATCTTTTTTATCGCTTCCTGTTTATCAACGTATCTTCCATAATGAGAGAAATGAACGTGTTTTGAAATATAATGATGTATTAGAACGTCAAGGAAAGAGATTTCCTGTACGTCACAGTGAATAACGGGATAAACGATTAATACGAAGACACTCCGCGTTATTGCGTACAAACAGATCCATGCTTAAAAATACAAAACTGCGGAAAAGTGACGGCAATGTATATGAGTTTTTATTCCGAGCAATATTATTACTTTGAAATTCCATCTATCGGAAATTAATGGGATTCAACGGTTATATAATGAAACCATTATTTTTTTTTGTGAATAACACAGCTCAGATTCATCAAACAATTCACGCTATCAAGCGATTTTTGTGCATTGATAAAAGATCTTAAATAACAATCGGTTAAGTTATTCACAGAATAATAATCGGTTAATCAGAACTTGAGGAAAAAATTAGATTATCTGAAATTATCTGGAATTAGAAGTTTAATCATCGATACGTTTAAACATATTATAAATATGTTTTTCGTAAAGCTGGACTATACCAAATGTAAGTTATTATAGTAAATCCGGCGATCTATTAGATATTTACAATATTTTATAATATAAAAGAAACATTTAAGTGTTACAATAATTTTGTGCATAATATTTTTAACCAAGTATATATTTCAATCATAACTCTCATCTATAGCCCAATATTGCAAAGATTTTATTGTAATTTTCACTACAATATCTTTTTCGTGTACGTGTATTTTTAACGAATTTGAAGAATATGCTTTGCTAGATTATGTTAAGATATATCGAAGAATATAGCTGACATTTAGGTCTTACAGTGAATGATAAATCTGATAACTAAGGTTAAGTAAAGAGCACACGAGGAAAAAGCAATACCTGGTATATATTGTTGCCTTCTTGTGATGTCAATGACGTCACCGATGTTTCACAGCGTGTGGATTTGTGCGGTCAGACACTCGTGCGCACCTGTAAAGAATCACGATAACTATACGGGAACTTTACGTTCACAGTTATGATATCTCAATGTCGCTTTTTTGACCTCGACATCGCGAGGAACTCTGGCAGAGTCGCGTAATTTGATGTCCGTGAGGCTAACAAAGCACTTACATATCAATGTTCTGATAAAATAACCGCGTGACGTATAGCCTTTATCGGTCATTAAATTTGAACGAGTCACTTTTTTTCTCGCGCAATATTAAACGCTCCTCGGCAAATATTTCGTTCCAACACGGCAGCAATGCTGTGCCGGCGTGCCGATTTCCTCAATCATTTGCAATTTTACGTAATGCTACGCAATTTGATCCAACGTATGCAATTCATTGCAAGTGTTCTAGCAAGCAATCCGTGCACACATCCATGTTGGAAATATTACGAGATCTTCAGTAATAGCTTTGATAATCTACGTTGTGCTACGCAATAATTCACGACGGGAGATTGATTAAAATTCAGTTTTGCTTACCTGTTATCGAGACATGCAAATATATTATCGTAAGATTAGATTATTGATATATTTTGATTCGAACAAAGGCACACGGTAATATCGAACGGATCTACACGGTGATTCAGCGCGAACTGTCTCTACGTGAATTTAATTCCGCGAATTCGACGGTAAAAATTCGACTCCAAAATGGAGAAACACTCACTTGCTGGCCGCTCATGACACGCGTCTTTAATACGCTGTCTCTGAATTGCCACCGTTGAACACTCATCTTCTGTGGAATGCAAACAGTTGTGCCAACATTAATGTTATCTGTTACCAGCATGAAAAATCACTCCCACTATAGAGACCGAAGGAGAGGCGGGAGGTTTGAATGAGTGCGCACAACACTTCGTGCGTTCCTGTAATCGAGCGATACGAGATCGCAGCTGGAATCATGCAACGTAGAATCAATTTATGATGACTTTTATGAAGACGACGGCTTTTATTTCTCAAGAATTACTTGTCAGAGTCGCTGTTTCTACTTATTCTCTTTCTTATTATATATACTTGTCGTTTATTGTCGCTGTAAAATATACATAATGTCAATCGTTCTTTCACAGAACGTTCTTTCGCAGAATAAAAAAGTACCATAACAACATATCAGTTCTCACAATTACGGAATTTTTGTGTCAACCATTCGACTGCGCGAACGAAAATCAATATTAAATTGAGTCGACATGTCTACATTAATTATGACGATCCCTGAGAGTCTAATCTATGATTTATTCATATTTGCGAGACATCTCACGAGGATTTCAATCCTCATATACGTCGAGCTTAGTCATTATCCTCGTGTATTTTAGATGGCTCAATAGTCATGGTAGAAGTCTTGTTTGCCATCCTCCCTAATTGATTCGCAACTGCCGTTATCTTCTTCACTGACGTCGCGTTTCCGTCAGTTGTGTCGGCCTCTATCGCATTGTACATGGCACGTGCGAATTTCGGATGTTGTATTAGGAAGTATATGATTCCGATGATAACGCTGACGATAACTAGTATTACTATGCCGATGATGCAGTAGGTCACGCAGTTCTCTGAAAATTAAAAATATTTATTTACGTTAGCACACGAAAAAAAGTTTGATTAGATAAATTAATTTCTGATGAAATATGAATAATATTAGAATTCCAATTGAGGTTATCGATGTTCTCAATTATCAAAACTTTTATAATTAATTGAAGCGGACCCTGACAGAAATAATAATTACATAAAATTCGAGGAGTTGTAGAAAGTCGTAAATTAATATGGATTTTCTATATGTCTATTAACAATATCATATAAAACAATTAGATTTTACATCACTGAATATTAATATCACTGTATCTATTTCAATTCTATTTTTCAGAAGAATTATGCTTCAATATGGCCTTTATCGTCCCAACAAAAGTGATGTGAAATCAGTATCAATTCTTTTTTTTATTCACTAGAACAATACATGTGCGCGCGTAGCGCACGTCATATAGCTAGTAAAAAACAATTAAAAATGTAAAATAAAAATTAAATTAAAATTAAATTAAAATATAATTTTAATTAATTAATAAGTATAGAGAGAGACAGGGAGAGACACGGAGAGACGGGGAGAGACGGGGAGACACAGGGAGAGGCAGGGAGAAATAGAGAGAGAGAGGGAGTGACAGGGAGAGACAGGGAGAGACAGGGAGAGACAAGGAGAGACATATCTCTTCTGTATTTTTTTTTCGTGACCTAACCAACGAGATGACAGCTATTTGCCTGGTAATTTGACAGGCGCAAACGACATGAAGCAAGTCGCAGCCGATATGAAGTGAGCTAAGCGAGAGAACCAATTAGCATCGCGGAAAAGCGGCAACAATTAAATCTCTACATGCCTTCTTTTAGAGAGAATTAGGATTATAGTTGCAAATTTCAAAACCATTTTCTATTTATTTACCTTACAATCTTGAATTTTTCAGTGAAAAGATTAAATTATATTTTTTATAACTCTTATTTTGCGAAATATTCTTTTTTAATTCCGCTCTGCGATAATAATTATATTTAAAGGATCTGTAACCTCTTAAACAGAATTCTGGTAATTTGGATCAGAATCGTTCATATTTCATCAGAAATTGCTTCACCCAATCAAACTTTTTTTTTTCATACAATATATTAGAAAATTTCATAAATTGTTATTAAATATTTTTATATTCTCTCATTTCTCTTTATTATGTGAACTTTTTACAAATATTTCGCGTTTAATCGTGAGAAATGTCAAGTCTTTCTTGATCTCTCCATACAGCAGAGATGTCAAACGGATGCTCGCGGAATATTCAAACAAATATCCGAGCGCATTGCAATATCTAGCTTTTGTGCTACTTGTTAATATCGCTGTTATTTGCTGCCGTATGAAGAAATGTTGCATGTATGACGGGGCCGGAATTTCTCAAATAGGATTTCAATACTATTGACGAGTTACATTTGAGTATCTTTCGAGTCGGTCGTTGTGTCTTCCGACTCAGCGTAAGATGTACCTTCGTCTCTTATTTCGTTTCCTTCGTTATTTTCGGTGATACCATCGCGGCCGGTGGTATCGTTCAAGGTCGACTTGTAAGACGGATTGTAAGCTGGTTGAGTCGCGTAAGGATTATCGGAAGATTGTTCAGAGGGCGGCAAATAAATGAAAGCAATGGGTGGTCGTTGTTTTGGTAGAAAAGGCTCCAAGCTCCCTTCATCATACACGTCTTTTTCCGTTACTTTGTCTAGATACGCTCTCTCTCCCGATAACGAAGTCATTTCTGCAAACAACAAATCACGCTTATCCATTTTTCAATATTTCGAAGGAGGAGCATAAGTACTTAAGAAAAGTCAGTATATGATTCCCTCAACCTTTTTGTGTGTATGTGTGTGTGTGTGTATATATATATCCATATGAGCGAAAAATAATATTAATATTTTTTAGAATAACCATTCAGCCAAGATATTCTTTATATAATGCTTCTTCCGTGTATATTTTACAAATTTAATCCCTAGAATATTTAGGAGCAGATACACCGAGAGAAGAAAGATCTAAGAAATAAAAAGTATTTATTCGGTGAGTACTCTCTTATAACACATTTATTTAAATCTAAATTCTTTTATTTAAACAAACAATTGCTTTCATGAAAGGTTTCAAGAAAATTTATATTTTCTTAGAAATTTAAAATATGTATTTTTTTTATTTGAATTTCTTTGAAAAATATTTTATATTAATAATCCCCCGACTACGGATAAATATTTTCTATTTGATAGATATTTTTTCTCAGAGTGTACGATATACAGAAAAGACTCTTATACTGCCGCGTAATAATTCACCCTGTCTTTACTCAATTAATTAATATAAACATACGATTAACAACGCGCGGAATAATGTGGAAATCGCGGCTCAAAGCAAAAAGGAGAAAGGAAGATTTATTGCAAATGAAAGATCGAGGAAAAAAACGGCTGCCTCGCCGTCTGGAGGGAATTTATTATCATTCCATCAAATCGCCATCCGATCGAAACGTATTCCCACATAAAGCATCGCGATATCGTCGATATCGTGGAGGAGAATCTAACGTCGCGTCGCGTTCGCATCTTCCCGACTAGAAATTTATCCCATGACCCTGATCAGGTTAACCTCAATTGGTTATCAGATCCGAATAAATAATACTATCGGGTCCTAGCGAGTCATGTAACATAGTGTAGATATTAGGACCTTATTAAAGATTCTTCTAGTGAAGTCCTTATTAAATTACTCTATTGAATCCTTATCACGTTTTGTTTTAGATTAAGAAGAGAATTATATGATATAAAATAAAAATAATTCTGTAGAAATGTATTTACTTATAATATATTATATAATTTGCCAATTTTCAGATTTTAATACAATATTAATATTACACATTATAATGCGTTGCAAACTTAAAAACAACTTCTATATTAACAGTTTCTTAGTAACTTGTATTTAATTATAAAAAATACTTTTGATAATAATAAAGAACGATTTATTTAAATCTTATATGAAATTTATGTGAATTAATTACATAAATGTTTTGCTTGCTTGAAATTGATTGTTTGAAATAAAAAAATGTAGAAACAAATTTTTTGAAAATAATGATATGAAAATAAAATTTATTATTTAAACTTATTATAAACATAAGTATATATATATATATAAATATATGTAAATATAATTAGGATATTATAAGGTATATCATATTTAGCATTACTTTACATTTACCCAAATAGATCTTTGTACAATATCAGGTAGTTGATCAAAGTTTCTAGTCGGGTTATAGAGTGTCGATTTTCGACTTCAAAACTCGTACGCGATAGATTTTGCGATTCTCCACGAGAGAACAATATTTATGGATTAGTTGAGGCCCAAGTGATGTCAGTGCTTCTCAATCGACGCGGCAATAACGCGGGCGTGACGTATCACTGTGTCCGTTGGTCGAGTAGTTCGCGTGTGCGAAACGCGTGTGTAGCGCGTGAGGAGCTGAAATGCCGGGAGGACAGAAGAGAGAAAGAGGAGGTCGCGAAAGGGGAAAAATAGGTCGGCGTCGGCGAGGTTTAATCAATGGTTTTGGCGCCAACCGAGCGTCGAGGCGCGTGTGTCTGTAAAAAAATGCATGAGCCGTTCATATAACGATGGAAATTCGGATTGCCATGCGCTTCACGGTAGCGCCTTCATCGTGAATGCATTCTCTCTTTCTCTCTCTCCCTCTTTTTCTCTCTCTCTCACTCCCTCTCTCTTTCTCTCTCTTTGATTTCTTCCTGATTCACTCGCGAGCATGTTGTGCATCTCGACTTCTCTCCGTCGCCCGTCGCACATTCACGCACTCCCGTTTTATCGCTCGTCTCTACTTTTTCCGTTTTTTGTTTTCTTCTTGCGAATGACGTCGTTGTCGCGCGCCGCTTCGGGAGTCACTCTGGCGCCGAATGTGACACTCGTCGCTGTGACTCGCCGACGCTCGATGCGCAAAAAAGTTACGCATGTGACGTCGTGTCATCGACCGAATCAAACTTCTACCTATAGAACGATGGATATGCAGCAAAAAGCTGCACGTGTGCGTTTGATCGTTTTTTTTTTCATCTCTTTTTTTTGAGAGAAGAATCGACGACGAGTGTAGAGATTGCGTTGTCCGGGGATATGGCCGACTTGATTCGACAAACAAACCGGTTATATCCGAAATGGGTAACATTCGTAGATTCTTGTATCACGCGAACGAGCGTATCCGAATTGACTGTATAATTATATTAGAGCTTGTAATTATTGTATAATTATATTAGACTGTATAATTATATTAGACTTGTAATTATATTAGAGCTGCCTTTTCACCGTATCTCGAGCCTGCGAAAAGCGCAACTTTCTCCTATTAATACGGTTGGGAAAGAAAGTAATAAATAATTAAGTGTGTAGAAAAAGGAGGAAGGATTCTACGAGCGTAATGCCAAGAGGTTACTCAACGTTAATGTATTTGGAAAAGCAGTAACAGCGAGCAAAAATTTTTCCTGACGAGCTGTTGTTACTCTGTTTGCGTGTGAAACGCGTCGACGCATCGCGCATTCTTAGAGCAGAATTAGCCGCGCTAATGGAATATAGGCCATTATTTACAGTTATGGACCGCTTGATGAACAAAAAGTAACGTCTATTTTTATTCATGAGACGAGCCAGTGCGTAATCATCAGTGCCAGAATTTCTTCGTCGTATTGCGTCACGCGATCGAGAAAAATAATTTCGCTCATAGGTAATCCTCTTTACGCGAGAACACGGTGAAATTTGCAGATGCATTTGTACGAATAAAAGTTTCATTCGCCAGACGTCGAGGTGAACGGACGACAAGAATGAGATATTGTTCGCACTCTAAGCGAAAATCGCGTCGGGAACTGAATTTACGCGGTGCAATCAGCGCGTCGTATTTATTAGAGAATTTTGTTGATCAGTCCGGCTAAGTACACGTTTCCAGTGTAAGAAGATCGTTTTCTGTTCTGATTCATCGACAAAACAGCTAATTGAGACGACCGAGGCGTGAGCGCAGGTGTTGCATGAAAATGAAGAAATTCCACTTCGGCGAGCGCGCGCACCTACACTTACGTACTTATCGTTAATGACCGCGACAAACTGAGCATTCAACACAAAGACGTCACTAATGACTCACGCGCTTGCACGTCGGTGCTATTGAGTGTTTACGAAGCGGGAGGTCACGCGTCGTTTGAATGTTTATTTCCTTCCGTAATCGGTCTTGCTTGCCCTACTTGCGTATTACGGGTCTCTCGCTCGTACTGGGTCGGTCAGAAAGTTCGTTCGGGTTTTCTTGCGGCAATTAAAACTCAAAAATTAAATATTAAGATGCAACCTTAATCAATAATGTATGCACCGCTTTTTCGGACGAGCCATCTTCTAGCTAGCTTCATTATCCCGTCAGTGTAAAATTGGGTCGGTTTTTCATTAGAGAAGTTATCCAAGTGAATTTTGACGGTCTCAAAAAATTGATACTCTTTACTGTTCAAGCTGCTTTAAACGGAACAGAACCCGAAGGATTAATTATCTTAAAATCAATAAATATTTTTTTGATGAGTGTCATTAACATATTTACTTGAATCTAAATTCTCTTTATTTAAATCAAATATTGTTTATCTGATTTAAGTAAACAATATTTGGTTTAAATAAAGAGAATTTATATTTAAATATATTAATGGCACTCATCAATATTTATTGATTTATTGATTATTGAAATATTTATTGATTTTAAGGTAATTTTTCCATGTGCACATATAGTTACGCGTTATCATGATGAAAAACAATGCTTTTACGATTCGCCGAAGGTGCAAGTCAGGAGAATATTTTGGGTCAACTAAGACACCCTAATTTCCAGTTCAAAAATTTTTTCCGGTTTTTTTCAAAGACACACTGAGGGAAAAATTATCTTAAAATCAATAAATATTTTTTTGATGAGTTTCATTAACATATTTACTTGAATCTAAATTCTCTTTATTTAAATCAAATATTATTTATCTGATTTAAGTAAACAATATTTGGTTGAAATAAAGAGAATTTATATTTAAATAAATATGTTAATGGCATTCATCAAAGAAATATTTATTGATTTTAAGGTAATTTTTCCATGTGCACATATAGCTTCGCGTTGTCATGATGAAAAACAACGCTTTTACGATTCGCCAATTCCGAGGTTTCTCGTCGATCGCTATCTTCAGTTGGTCCAAGTTGAAGACAGCATTTAGCAGAATTGATAGTTTCATTGTTTGGTAAGAGCTTATAATATATACTATTCCCTTCCAATCTTACCAAACACATAGCATGATTTTTTATGGGCGAAAGCTAGCCTTGGTTTGTGCTAATGGAAACTTGTTTCTTTTACCTATGACTTTGCAATCGCAAAATATCGCATATCTTTAGATAGAACCACGCTCTTTACGCGATTTACATGACCACGGGTGAGGTGAGGGGGGAAGTAGCTCTCACAACACAGTGATAATATACGATCTTAAAACGTCAGAGGTCACGCTTCCGCGAGACATGGGCGTCTAACGTCGTGGCGCCGGAAAATGTACTCAGACAGGCTGTCGAACGCTGAAGCACTGAATTCACGCCACATAATTTCCGGGTATGAAGGCGGTTTCTGTCAGAGCGCGCAGGCAAAACGGCAATGCGTGGCATTTACGGTAATTCGCTACAGCCGTATCATCATGCAATGACATACATGTCGTACATACACGTCGTAATACTGAATGTTAAAATCAACGGTAAATTTTCTGAAAAAAAAGAAAAAAAAAAGAAAAAGCCAAAAAAAGACAGCTGGACAAGCACACGGCAGTTGCGATGAAACGTCCCGGTGTTAAAGGAACGCCAAAGTGGAGGACAAAAATGTCGATAACGTAGATCCAAATTAATAGTTATCACATGAAACTTGTCTCATGTAAGATACTCAGATTTTTATTCAGAATCAGATGCAAGTTTTTCAGTTGAATTATGTTATACGTGATATATCTTACAAATTTGTATCTGTAATCGCGATTTAACTGAAAGACTCTCATCTAATTCAAAGACTCATATTTCTAGTTATTACTTAAAATTCGTCTCAGATATTCAGATTTCAATTTAGAGTTCTAGATATTCGATTAAGACTAGGCCTATAATAAATATTAAAGCCATTATACTGTGTATTTTTACTTATATAAAATATAATTTTTACTTACATATAATTTGTTACTTATATAAAAGTGTAGTCATATAAAAACACTTGTCCAATTAATACACATACGCTTTGTAGAAAAAAATTAATATTTTGTCAGTAAATTTTTCAAGTAGGGTGGTAAATTTTTCAAATAGAGCGATTCAAGAAGAATGCGATTAAAATTAAACCGCGGAGTTTACGAGTTCAAGAACACTGCAATACACGGTAATCGAATTCATCTGTCGTTTGTCCTCCTTTCAGCTCTTACAGTATACAGGGTGCTTCAATAAATGTGGCCAATCTCTTAGGGACGTATAAATTAGATGAAAATAACGTCAAAATTTCATTGTTTTTTCTCAGCACATTATTGCTGAGAGATTTATTTTCGAAGTTAGAATCTAAAAAGCATTTCCTATAACTTTTATATATTGCTTACCAAATTCTGGTAAATTTTCATATTATTTCTATACTGACTAGAGCATTCTCTCTAAATTCCTTAATTTCCAAACTTTAAGGCTAGTAGGATTTTTTTATTTTTGAAGACTCTCTTAAATTTTTTAGACCTTTCTCCAAAGAAAAAATGTTCGATTTCGAAGAAGCAGTTAGTTTTTTAGGAAAACGCGTTTAAACGATGAAAGCTGAAACTTTATTCAAACAATAAGATAATGATGTTGCGTGAGATAAAATTGAATTAATTAAGAAGAAATTAATTGAGAAATTAAATTAAATTAAAAAGAATTTAATTTAGAAGAAATGTGCATTTGTCCAAAATTATAACAAATCATAACACTGTAAAAATTTTTGAATTAAATTTAACATATTTCACATATCCTGATTTATTCAATTTAATTTTTATGTTAATTTAACACAAGATAAATACATAAACAGATAGCGCAAATAATATCCCAGAAATTAACACAAAAATGTGACTTGGACGCTATTGTGTTATTCCAACATTGAGAGAAATTATTTGACAAGAAATTAACAAACATATATTTTCGATCAAAATACCGATTAATTTTTATGTCCGATTAGGAAACATTCAATGAGAAATATCGGTTTATAATTTTTGATGAAATGCCATTATGATCGAAAGTATTTGATTTGATCGGATATAAATATTCATCGGTATTTTGATCGGAGATATCCGTTTGTTAATTTTTTATCGGATAATTTCTCTCAGTGAACATTAAAAAATAGTAAACATGAATTCAACGCGGAATAATGAAAATAACACAACGACAGTATGTTAATAACACGCGGACATGTTGAAAATTTAACACAAAAATACCTACGCAGATTGATTTCAACACAAATGCAAAATGTTTTTTTACCGTGTACTATTCTCTAAGAGAGTGTCCACCTTTGCTAAAACGCCCTGTACCTTCCACTTAAGCATACATGGCGATTGCGTGAAGGATGTCTCGTTAATTCTGTTGAACTACGAGATCAGCGTATTGCAATGGACGTTTCGATAAAAATATTTTCTCTTTTCTTTGTTAATATCATTGGAAGCCCGTTTTGACGTGAAAATAATGAGGTCACGTATCAACAGTATCATGGCGGTTCGTTAGTTTATTCGTTCAATCTGCGCGCGATTTGTTATTTAAATTATAATTTCAAAACACGTCTTTGCGCGCTCGACGCGCTTGCAGTGAAACGCGTGCGAATTCGCACGGCAGGCGTGTGCAACGCGCAAATTCCAGGCCGCTTCTTCGCATTTACCTCTCGGCGCGTTGTTTGCGCGCTACGTAATGCCGTCAAGTCAGCCAACCTAGCGATTTCTATTCGTTGCTAGGCGATCGGCACGCTCATACGTAAGAAATTCAAACACCAGAGCCGGATTCGGGAATGCGCAAAATAAGCATATGTCATAACCGAATCGCGTCCGACGGCGAAAACACGTTTCACATTAACCTCGAGTCGTGTGTATTCGAATCATAGGCGGCATCGGTGACGTAGCGCTCCAACTTTTCGAGCAGTAGTTTCAACGTGATTATCATGCAAATTCATTTTTGTAAGTATCTAGTCATCAAAGTATTTAATGCAAGTCATAAATTTTCCCTTTCTCTCTCTCTCTCTTTCTCTCTCTTTCTCTCTCTTTTTTTCTCTCGGCACTGCAGCTTCGAAGTGAAGCCGTGCTGCGAGGTCGCGCAAGATCGTTCAAAGAAATCGTGACGATTCTCTTGTCGACGATACTACCGATTCCACTGCAATCTCTGGCAAACAACGAACGGAACTGCACATTAGCCGCGCGTCATCGGGATTGATTTGTATGCTCGTGATTTCTTTCTCAATACGGTGTCGCGCGACGCGGACAGTAGCCAAACGCAACCGGTGAGAGGCTAGTGTGAACAATACTGGCCGTTAACTTGGCCGTCTCGCAAATAAAATGCATGCAATTGTCGCGCGTGCGTTGGTGCCACGTCAAGGCCGCGCGAGCGTTGCACATGCGCACGCATCTTTGCATAGTGCGTACTACGGACCTGCGGGACCAGAGCGAGAAGAGTGACGCAATTGTCAACTTGAGACCCGCCGGGACCGGATTAGCTTATGCTAATCGATTCAACGGCGAAACTTTCACGAATCAAATCGATCGGAGCTGAAAACGCGGTGTAATCAGGCGGGCGAAAATTTTCGTGCGATAATTAACTAATTTTGCTTACTGAGGAAGACGCGCCGACGTGGTGTACTATCGTGAGAGAAACGTTAATAGCATTATCTTATCTTCAACGGGAATTAACGACGACGCGAATTCTTAAGCGACGTTGCGTCTAAAGCGCGATAACAGTGGTGTCCTTCTTTTACGATGTGTAAGCGGATTAAGTGTATTACGGAACGTTAGAGCTGAATCTAGATTGCGTCGACATCGGGACTTTCACGGCGGCGCGAATTGTGTTATCGCGTTCTTTAGTCCGGAGGAAACTTCAACGTGTAATTCATGTAATTCCGACATGAAAGAAATTCACGCTTCCCGCCGTGTAATACCTTCCCTCAAGCTGTACGCACGACGTAACAAGAAAGAAACCGAAGGAATCATTAGCCAGACATCCCTTTCTTTCCGGGACAGTCCCGGTTTTCGACCCTTTGTCCCGGATTCGGGCCAAATTGTGCTGGTTTATCCAGAGGATGTTTCAAATACTTCTCTTTCTGATAAAGAAAGACTTTCTCAAGAAAATTCACAGCCTGGTAAATATGTACAGTAGCTTCGCTCTCCTTTCTCTTCATTTTAATCCTGGAAGCCTAAACACGGGTAACACTTACCAACTTTTCAAGCGTGACCGTTCTTAAAAACGTGTCTTTTGTTTTTCATTGTAATTTTTTTCAACTTTATTGAATCGTACAAAGATATTAATAGATTTACATTACTCAATGTTTTTACGTGGATTTAAGAAAAAGAGGAATAAATTTACATCATTTTTACGG